GCAGTAACTATTTATCTCTCAGTATATCTATTTCTGTTGATCCCATCCCCCCCTTCAGCTGTCCCGCTCTCTCCAAAAGCCTCTCATGCATCCTGCGCTGCTCACGTCACACTCATCTGTGCCACCAGCAACTCTTCCTGCTTTCTTTTCTGCCTCTCTGACGACTCAAAACAAAAGTGCACAGATTTGGATTTAACTGTTGGGGTTTTTTTTACACTTAAAGGGATAGTTCAGATATTCTGCGGTGGAATTCTGTGGAAAAACTATGAACAATAATTATCTTACTTGTTGTAGACAACTATCTAAACAAGCTCAGTTTGGAAAAGCAGAGCTCAGATCTGATGGTTCAAACTAACAAGAAGCTCAGCCCAGATCAAAGCTTGTTGCTGTCTTCTAAAAGCAATTCCCACTTAATAGTATTTCCTAAATCTTTTCCACTGCTTTTAGTATTTCAGCACTTCAGAAGTGTCAGAAATGCTATAGTTAGCAGCTGCTTCTAACTGCAGCTGCTAATACCCAAAACACTCTTTTTAAACTGGAGATTAACTTTTGTTAAAACTTTTTTAATGCTGAGCACTAGGCTTGGGCATCATGACTAAATTATGGTATACCTCTGTATTAAAATATGGTGACTGCATTTAAAAGTTATGACAGTATTAGTCATGTGAGGTGATGTGTCAAATTTCCACAAGCCTGCTAAGAAAACTGGGACGTCAACATTCTAGTCTCTTTCAGAGGATACTCCATAGCGTTTCTGAAAAATAATAGCTAAAAGCTAGAGTTAGCAAAACACTAGTGTAAATGCTCATTTTAGTGAGGCTCCAAGGCATACAAGTAGTCTCATAAAAATGAGTATTTACAGTAGCTAAAAACTTAAATTTACTAAGCAGTAGCTAAACACTAAAAAAATCTTAGCTGAAGTCTAATATTAGCAAACTGATGCTAAAAGCTAAAATTATCAAAAAATGTAACCAAAAGCTTCAATTACTACAAGCAAAGCTAAAAATCAAACACTTCTAAACTGTAGCAGAAAAATAAAATTAGCAAAACCTTGGCTAAAACTTAAAGTTTGCAACAATTTAACAAGGCTAAATTGTAGCTAAAATCTAAAATGAAAAAAATAATTAAAAACTAAACATAGCTATATAGGAACTAAAAGCTAATCATAGCAAAACAATAGCAGAAAGATAAAAGCAAAACTCTAATTGAAGGCTAAAATTAGCTAAAACATAGTTGAAGTCTAAATTTTTTTAAGTGGTTGCTAAATTATGCAAAGCGGCAGTTAAAAGTTAAATATAGAAAAACATTTGCTGAAAGCTAAAATTAGCAAAACTGTAAGTGAAACTTCAGATAAGCAATTCAAACAAAACCTGTAGCTAACGGCTAAAGTTAACAAGCCTGCAGCTAAACGGAGCATAAGTAGGCTAAACAAATTATAGCAAATATGCTAAAGTATGTTTTACAAGAAGAATGATTTTGAAGAAACTGGGGTGTGTCAGTGTTTGTTGGGAGGGTTGTGTGTGCATTATAGTTTAATAACTAAAATAAAATGTTAAATACTGAAGTTCAGAGCAAACTGTACCAGATCAAGCTGAATGTTTTGATATGTTTTTGATGTGAATTGGATGTGTTTTAAGACAGGAACAACACACTTTGGTCTTGTCCATGTATATATATTTTTATCTTATTGTGGCTTTTATTTCAAACATTCAGTAGAAAACCTTCAACAAATGCTGCCCAGCTAAGTTATTGTTCTCTCCGGCTCGAGTAGGTGCACACAATATTTCAAACAGAGCAGCTGCCTGAAGAGTCACGTTTTCCAGCAGCTGGGTTTATACCTAAGGGAATGTCATTTTCACGCCTTTCTATTTTGCAGCCATTTACGACAGCTGTCTGGGAATTCAGCCGCCACTACAACTTGTAGCAAACATGGCGTTACAATGTGCAGAGATGGAAATGTTGCTGTTTGTCACAGAGCGCCGCTCGTACCCTGAAGAACAAAAAAAATTTGCATCACATCCATTACTGATAAGTGACGCTCAGCTCCTGCCACACACCAAATTTTAGATGAATATTTGTAAAACTGACTGAGTTATTGCCACATTATTTAGCTATTTTTGTTTTTAACAAATAACCAAAAACTAACAATCATTTTAAAAAGTACACTAAAACTAACACCTGCTAAGATGTAGCCAAAGCAGAAATGAGTGTGTCAAGCTTCCGAGGTGCACGCTCTAATCTGTTAACAAGTGAGGTGAAAAAACATGACATGCACAGATGTAACACACACCACATACTGTTGAGGGGGGAAGCCAGCCAGAGGCTCTGACACTTTAAAACCTGGATTTTTTTAATCACCGGGAGACGTCTGCATCACTAAAACAACAGCATTTGTTTGAAGTCCAACCACTTCCTTCCCAGTTCGGGTTACATTAGCACATGGATGAGGTCAATGACACATTCAAACGTGATGTCATGATTCTGAGTGGAGTCATGGATTAGGTTGTTGATGCCAAACCTGCACACAGACATGGATCTTGTGTCCCAGTGACCAATAACGTTACAGTTAAAAGTTTTTAGCAAGATCTATTTGCTAACAAATTTAAAACTCCTTTATGTTTTTTCCACATCCTTCCACTCATCTGAAGTGAGAAGAGGTTGTCCTGAGCCACACTCCAGATCATGATGAAAACATTAAGTTAAGCTCTTCACTTCTAAATTCTTAAAACACTGGAGGCTGGTCTTTATTTCTGAAAGGTTAACTTTAATTGTTGCTCATGAATATTTGATTACAGGGATCTAATGCCATTTTACGGTGCATTTAAATTATAAAAGACTCTCACACTTTGTCAGAGCAACTAGACAACTAGTGTCTTTCTTAAAGTGGTAAGAAAACATCAATGTCATTTACTGAGGGAAAAAATATCACCCACCATCCTTTAAAGCAGTGTTTCCCAAAGTTGGGGTCGGGACCCAAAGTGGGGTCCCGAAACATCAAGATGGGGTCCTCAGGACCCCATCTTGATGTTTCGGGATGGGGTCCTGAAAAGATTTTCGGAATTAATTATGTCTTTTTCTTACTTGTTACAAAGGAGTGAGGTTAGTATATTTAAAATGGATAAATGTAGTATAAAAATATTGTTACTATGCTAATGTTTAGTTGACCTGATACAAATGTTTATCATCCAAAAATAGCTGGAGGCTCAGGTCTCTGCTACTGTTATTTTGTGGGTCAAAAGCTGAAAAGTTTGGGAACCACTGCTTTAAAGGGTACTCAGACACATGTTGGCCTTAATATGTTATTTCTCAATTTTACTAAAAGTTGCTGTTTGTGATACGTGAAAACATAAGCTTTTGTCACAATTTTATTAGTGACAAATTTTGTGGAGGTTGATGAGTCACTGTTGAGATTAAAACACAAAGAGTCAAGGCTAAAAAGCTATAATGTGTGAAGAAGTCTCTTGGAGGAGAGACGAAACGTTTCACTGAAGAAGAACCCGTCCAGAGGACCTACTTATTTTTTTCTTTTTGATCTTTTTCTACCTGTATTACTGAGATGCATCAGGACATAATGTGTGACAATAAATTTTTATTTTGTATTAGTTTCTGTGTTCTGCACAGTATATGGGCTGAAGTCATCAAACCAGATGTTTTGTAAATTAGCTCTGAAGCTAGCACCATGACAGCTCTAGAGCTAATGTCTATATGTATTAGTTATAAAGCTAATTATCTCTAGAGTTAATGCCATATATTAATTATTTCTAGAAATAATGTTATTTTAGCTCTAGAGCTAATGTCATTTACGTATTTATTAGCTTGGGAGCTAACACAAAAGCTAAAAGGCTGAAGCTGAGATTTGCCTTCCATGGAGCAGCTCTGTTGTCCTGATCATTTTCAGTTGCAGGCTGAGTCATTTCTACCTTCTCCTCTCTGTCAACGTGCTCCAGTTGAATCTAACATCAGACATTGTCCAAAATTAACATTCAAGCTGGACAGAGCTTGCACCGGAACACCGCTAAGCGTCATCATTTACCCAGAATGCTTTGCAACTAAAATAAGATGGTGAAATCTGTGTGACAATATTTTCTTTAAATTTGTTTAAAAACCTAAGCAGCCTAAAGTATTTTAAGTCTCATTTTTATAGTTGAAGTAAATATTGAAGTTGAAAACTGTGATTCTATTATCCTGAGAAATAATGGTGCTGCAGCCATTTTTGGTCAAAGCCTGATATTATTATGTGAAATGTTACTCAGAGTGTCTGATGTGAATGACTCTCATCTACCACCACACCAAACTTTACCTCAAAACCTGCAAAGTTTAAAGTTATTGCCACTTTTGTGTTTTATTAAGGCCTGTTGAATATGGCAATCATCTTGAATTGAGTTTGCTCCAGAACTTTTCATTGAAATTCATCCAGTGATTCGTGAAATATTTTGCTAACAGGCATGAGCCTAAATCATTACCACCTTCGCACTGTAATAATTATTCATTTTCACAAATGTTTCCCTTCTGTATATTTACAGCCGTGTCACACTCTGCCTGAGTCACAGCACCACACCTTGCAGCAAAAAGCAATTTCTTCACTCTCTAAACCAGCGTGATTGATGCCAGCTCGATCCTCTCACCTGTGCGGAACTTGTTCCGGATGAGGAGCGACCTCTCGGAGGCCAGCAGAGTCATCGTGGAGGGGTGGGCAGGGGTGTGGGAGGGGGAAGCAAAGGAAGTGAAGCAGAGAGAAGGAGGAAACTCCTGGTGCTGTCCTACCAGGAGGAACCGGTGCCACTGTCCTCCTGTCTGTCACTGCTGGGGACAGAACAGGGACAGATGCTTGTTAATCCAGTGATTGGCAAAAACTAGTATCGATAGACACACACACACACACAGAGAGAGGGGGGGGGAGCACAGCAGAGACGGACAGAGGGGGTGGAAATAGAGACACGTCAGACCTGCAGGCAGACTGAACTCTACAGCAGGAACAGCGGGCCTCCCTGCAGACAGCCTGTCATAACCACACGGAGTGTCACCGAAGCCCACCCACAGTCAGAGACAGAGCTAACGACACGCAGAATTAAACAGACAAGAGACAGAGCGAGGAGCCAGAGGGGGAGAAGAAGAAGAGGGGAACCAAGCCTGCATGAGTGACGGTGACAGAAACCCCAGCAGATACTGACCGAGGGCATCTCAATTTTCATCTGAATTTTTTGTGGCGGACAAACACACAAATGTACATTTGCATCGTTTCTGCAGCACCAAAACAAAACCACAGAATCTACGTAAGCTGTTTTAGTGCATGCACACGCAACCTATTAACAATATCGATCTGGTGGCCAGCAGCAGAACACCCAGAGGAAGCCCGTGTGAGGCCAAGGTGCAAACACACAACACCTCAATCACACACGTGCTCTGGAACAACAGAGGCTACGCACAAACACACACTTCACTCTTTTACAAAGAGTTCAAAAATAAAGCCAGCGATTCATTATTGCAGCCTCATAACTAGAAGTTGATTGAGATTTCATGTCTGGCAGAGGCCTTGTTTCACTGCAGGGCACTGACACACACTCTGGAAACACAAAGAGAATAAAAGCGAGAGAATGAAAGAGAATACTTACAGGAAAAGAAAAAAAAGGAGAATTGAGTCCCTTGAGGGAATTTGAAGTGGATTTAAGATTAAATTGAGAGAGGTGCGAGATGGAGGGGAGAGAGAGGAAAGAGAGAACTTCGTAGTGCGGTTAATGACAATTTCTTTCTTTCATGTTCTTTTTTTGTCCCCTTTTTTTCTTTTCGTTCGCTCTCCTGTTCCACACGTCTCAGTTTCTCAGCTTTGTCCTAAAGGTGCGGACGAAAGAAGGTCTAGTTTCTTCGTCCTCTTGATCTGTAAACCTCTCTCCCTCTGCCCTCGCTCCCTCTGGCCCCCTCTCTCTCCCCCGTCCACCCTGAAGCATCCCAGATCCTCTGTGCCAACTGTGAGGGGCTGTCAAACTTCACCCCACCCCCTCTTCTGTGCCGTCCCACCGAAGCCAGTCACCCTCTCTGACACCTGCTGGCTGTGTGTGTATGTGTGTGTATGTGTGTGTATGTGTGGGGGGGTGACGGAGACTCAAAGACAGCGAACCGGGTTTGTGCTCAGGCCTTGACAAGGAGCGCCCGATGAAACCAGTGCAGTTCTTTAATGTGAGGGAGCTGAGCTGACACATAATGTGATGGATAGAAAAGTGAAACCAGGATAAAGAGGTGGTTTATTACACAGCAACTGGAGAAGCCCCGGAGTGCTTTGGACTCACATCAAATTATGTTCCGCAGCAGGACTGCAGGCTCATATGCTCCTGTCAAGATACCTTTGGGTCACCCTCTTAAAGTGATTTAGTGTGTGTGTGTGTGTGTGTGTGTGTGTGTGTGTGTGTGTGTGTGTGTGTGTGTGTGTGTGTGTGTGTGTG